ACTGGAGTCCACTTACAAATTTGATGTGAAGCAGAGTATAATATTCTATTTTTCTTAAATTATTAGCCAACTTTCCCAATATTAAACAATCTACAGTTTCTCTCTGACTTGAAATGCCACTTTTATGAAATACTACATTCCTGTATTTTTGTCTAATGATGCATCTATTTTGTTCACTAAATTGTTTATTCTAACACAACTATTTATATTAGTTTTGTGGTACCTTTATAGTATCTTTTGATTTATGGTAAACTAACCACTCATTATTCTTTGTAAGAAAAAAAGTGTGTTTCCAATATTTATTAATTTTTTGCAGAAGAACTGTAGAAGAAACATAATAGCTACCTTCCTATAGAAATGTTTTACATTTTTTATTGGAATTATACATAGAATTCATCTATTAATATGGAAAAAATTAGCATACTAATCTTTCATCAATAGCAACATACTATGTCTCTCCATTAACTTAGGTCTTTTATATTTACTTCACCAATATTTTATGGTTTTCCTTTTATTTCTAGGTCTTATACGTATTTCTTATTATTTTTGTTCTTAAGAATTGTACAGCTTTCATTAATACTGTGAATCAGATTTTTCATTAATTCTTTTAATTGCTTATTATTGAACATGAAAAAGTAATCTTTGTATTGAAATCTTGAGTCTGATCATGTTTCTATTTTAAATTCATAAAGAATTCTAACAGAAGAGAAATTAAAAGAATGTCATAAATGGATGTTTCTCTATGGATGGAGGAACTATTTTATTCACTGGCTGATAAGTCAACCTAAGCCAGTTTGGCATCATGTAGATAAATAGTTGAATTATGGATTTAAAATACATATTTTTTTTCTGACTGCAAAGGTAATGCTTATTAATTTAGATGGTTTTGAAAATATAGAAAAGCACAAATTAAAAAAAAAATCTGTTATTCTTTACCACTACTCAATCTATCATCTATCTCTCCATTTGTTCATCCATTTGTTTATATCTGTTAATCTTCATATGTGCTCATGTATAGCTTTTACATGATTGGAATCATAATACATATTCCATTTTGAGGTCTCCTTCTTTTTACACAAAAATATGTTGTGGATATTTTCCTATATTATTAAATATCATTGGCTGAACTTTTAGAATTGACTGCATGTTTTGATACCATTTAGACATCGTTTAAGATACTCAGAAGTTATGTGGCTTTGTCACTATGGATGAATCTTCTTTACTCAATATTAATTTCTTTAAAATAACCTCACCTAAATACTACTCAGCCATAAAAAGGACAAATTAGTGATATTCATAGCAACTTGGAGACTATTATTCTAAGAGAAGTAACTCAGGAATGGAAAACCAAACGTTGTATGTTCTCACTCGTAAGTGGGAGATAACCTATGAAGATGCAAAGGCATAAGAAGGATACAATGGACTTTGGGGACTCAGGTGAAAGGGTGGGAGGGGGTGAGGGATAAAATAACACCAATTGTGTTCAATACATACTGCTCAGGTGATGGGTGCACCAAAATCTCACAAATCACCACTAAAGTTCTTACTCATGTAACCAGATACCATTTGTTCCCCAAAATCCTATGGAAATAAAAAATTAAAAAAAATAACCTCACGTAATATGGACTTCTGTTTTTGGGAAGATGAAATAGACATACTCTTCCCAGATCACAACACTGCACTCCAGCCTGGGCGACAAAGTGAGACTCCATCTCCAAAAACCAAACCAAACCAAACAATATAAAACAAAAACCCTGAACAAAAGATGTAACACAAACAAAAGAAGACTCTAAAGGTCAAGAGAAGAAGGCAGAACTAGGGAACTTGGAACCCAAGAAACAACACTGTGGAAAGTTCCCTGGGTTTTCTTTTGGCTCACATATCTGAGACTTGAAACTAAGGAAGCCAGCAACCTGGAAATGCCAATAGGAGTAGACAAAAATGTCCCCTCCAAAAGCCTACTTTCACTAGCCAAAGGCCAGTCAACAGGCAGCCTAGCAAGACAGAGAACTTTGACAATAACTGCTGTACTCAAGCCAATGCTACAGAAAAATACAGTGGCTTCAACCTCACCCCCAGCAGCAAAGGCCAAGTGGGGAGCATAGATTTGTTCCCTTTAGAGGGATGGTGAATTGCTATACCCACCTCCACTGGAGTGATGTCAGAAAAACCTAAGCAGGGAGCTAGAACTTTCATCCACACTGAGTACTCCCTCTGCCTCCTTTTCCCTCTACTTTTGATGTCAATGGAGACTACATGGGGATTCTAGACTTCCACCCACAGCCACTGGTGCAGTAGTGTTGGATAAAGCTTAGTGGAGAGTTGGGACTTTTACCACCACATGCGGCCTTGGTATTAGAGGAGGTCAGGTGGGGAGAAGTAACTCCTACCTCTGTCCAGTGGTAACAAGTGGCATCCCCCACCCCAGTGTGGCAATGGAAGCTAAGTGAGAACCTGGACTTTTACCTTTATTTGCTAGGAATTAGGTGGCACCCTACTTTCCCTGCCAGGACTGTGTCAGAAGAAAGCAGCTAAAACAGAAGGTTTAAATAATAACTCGAGTCTTTTAATACCCAAACTGTCCATGTTTCAAATGAAAATCACTTCTTAAACCAAGAATCAGGAAGATCTGAAATCAATTGAAGATAGACAATCAATAGTTGCCAACACTAAGCTGGTGGAGATATTAGAATGATCAAGAATTTTATAGCAGCTGTCCTAAAATGTCTCAGCAAGCAATTAAAAACATTACAGAATATACTAAAATTACAAAATTGTAAAAAACAGAAAACTTTAATAAATAGAAAGTCTCAAGAAAGAAAGAAAAAATATAAAGAATAATTCAATGGGAAATTTTGGAACTGAAAAATATAATAATCAATATAAGAAACACAATGGACAGGCTAAAAAGCAGCATGGAGGGAACAGAGAAAAGAATCAGGTAACTGGAAGACAGAACATCAGATATTACTTAATTAGAACAATGTAGAGAAAATAATAACTGAAAAACACAGAACAGAGCCTTAGGGACCTGGGAGAACATAATAGAAGATATAATGTGTAATCAGAGACCTAGAAAGAGAGAAGAAAGAGATGGGACTGAAGAAGTACTTTAAGAAATAATGACTGAAAATGTTCCCAATTTGGCAAAAGATGTAAACCTACAAATTTGAGAAGCTGGGTAAACTCCAAAGAAGATAAATCCAAAGACATCCATATCAAGACACAATAGAATCAAACTTGAAATCTAAAGACAATTTAAAAAAGCTTCAAAGTGCTTAGTGACAGAAAAATAACACCTTACTTACAGGGCAAAAAATAATTTGAATGACGACGTATTTCTCACCAGGAACTATAGATCCCAGAAGGAAGTGGTGCAACATTTTTCAAGTGCTGAAAGAAAATAACTGTTAACCCAGAATTCCTATACTTAGTCAAAGTGTCCTTCAGGAATCAATGGGAAATCAAAGCCTTCTCAGAAAACTAAGAATCTGTCACCTGCAAATCTGCTTTAAAAGAACAGCTAAAGGAAGCTCTCTACATGGAAAAGAAATGCCAAAAGAAGAACCCTTGGAACATCAGGAAGAAAGAACATGGTCAGTAAAAATATAGGTACAATATAACCGACTTCCCTTCTCTTAAGTTTAATTAAAAAAAAACACACACACATGAAATAAACAAACCAAAGACACTTAACATGAAACAGTGCTTTGAAGCAAGTATCATATAAGATAAATGTGGAGAGCATTTTTTCTCCATTAAAAATATATAGTTAATGCAATGTGTACTTATCATGTAACTCAAAATGAGAATTTGGCCTTCAAAATAACTATTAGTGATGAAAATAATCCTAAAAAGATATGGTTAGAAATCATTCTGAAATTTTATCAAAAGTTTCTTCCTTTCTTGTCTGCTTACTTGCATAATGTATGATGAAGGGATTGGATTTGATTGTCTCAAAGGTCTGTTCAGTTGAGCTCATGGCACTCTTGAATTTTTTTGGCTAAATTTCTGAAAGAGCCACAAAATTCCAAAACCTTTAAAAATACTTTCTTGTACATAAAATCACATCTTTGATGAATGAGGTGGTTTACTTTATGAAAGAATTTTAAAGGAATGATGTTTTCCTGTACTTTACGTGCTGGGTTCTCTTCCTCCTTCCTCTTTAAGAGTGAGAATAAAGAAATTTAATTTAGATTAAGCATTGAAGCAAACAAAAAGCATTGAAGCAAATAAGAAATTAGTCAATATTATAGGAACACTTATTGCCCTTTTTTTTTCCTGTTCTCTTTTACCCCTTTTTCCCCTTCCTTACCCTCTTTATTCCCTTTCCTTTTGGAAGCATTTGAGAGTAAGTTGCAATCACTATTACCCTTCTCCATAATTACTTCATTATGCATATCCAAAGAACAAGGGTAGTCTCCTAAATAACCACATTATAGTGACCAGATTCAGAAAGATTAACATTGATGCAATATTACATAAAAAATCCAAATTCAAAGTTATTTTCTTTAAAAAAATAAAATGTCTATTTTAACAGAATAGGTTAAAAGGAAGGGAGGTCCCATCACATTTCTATCACCTTTATTCCTCTGTCTCTTTCTTTTAGGTATCCTTCTCAGGGAATGGCATCTGAATGATTTCCCACCCCTACTGGCTCATCCTCTTTCCTGTCAACACTCGTGAGTCCTTCCCGTGTTCCCTCAGGACTCAGCTAGATACTGGGAACCAGTCTTCCTAGGCTGATGTCCATGAATGATGACGATGGCTTCCTATGATCTCACTTTCCCAGGGCATCGGCAGTTTTTTCAACTACTTTCAGAAATGTGGGCAGTTTATACAGAGCTTCAGAAGCCAGAAGAAGTATTTTGAAGAAAGGGGACAATTGGTGTCTCCTTGCCTTATTGTAGCAAGTTTATTCTACTTATTCATAAGCAAATATAAACAATTTAAAGTTCATAAGCAAATATAAACAATTAAAGTTTAGGAGTAGGAAATGATTCAGGTGCCAGTCTCTGAGAAGGATGTCTAAAAGAAAGAGGAAAATAAATGAGTGTTAAACATTCTATGGGACCTTCCTTCCTTTAAACTTATTTTGTTAAAATAGACATTTTATTGTTTTAAAGAAAATAACTTTGAATCTGGGTATTTTAGATAGTATTACAATTGGTATTTTCTTACCTTATTGTAGCAGGTTTTTACCTATCCATAAGGAAATATGAACAATTTAAAGTTTTCTGGAATTCAGTGTTTTTGCCATATTTGGGAAGCCAGTGTTTTCAATGGGTCTATAATATTCTGCTATGGAAAAAAGCAAAGAAAAGCAAGATACTGAATAATGTTTATAGAATAAGCTCATTACCAAAACATAAAGACAGGTTTTCTCTACATCAACATATGCTTATATGAGTATGAGGGAAAGAATAGAAGGATGCACACCAAATTATTAACATGGGTTATCTTAGGAAGGTGAGGTTAATTTTTCTTCATGCATTGCTATATATTTTTTTACTCACACAAAACGTGTATCCTTTTTGTAATTAAAATAAAAATAATACAGTTTTTGAGAAGCAAAATACTCAGAAAGCATGTAAAACTTCTGATTTAACAGAAAACTCCCAACTACCAAGAAGAGAAAGAAGGCCATTGATGTTATCATGGAACATATTATATGGTACATAGGGGTTAATTGCTCAGTGATGAATGAATGATACAGGATTATCCTTGCTAAAACATAAAGATTATCTTTTATATAAATCCATTTCTCTTGGATAAATTTTCTTGCTACTCTTCATGCTAAGACAAGTTTTGCTGAACTCAGGAGAGAAGCAAATTGGGAAGGAAGTAAGATTTCATTTTGGAGAAATAAAACTTGAAAACGTTATATTCAAGAAGGGAAATGAGGCTTTCTAGTTGGATCCTAGGAAAGGCATTAGCGTGTGCATTCCGACTTTTAAAATTCCTTGCCTCAAGTGTCTTCTGGGTCTCATGATCTCTGGACTTCGTACATTCACCTTCTAGGAACATTCTTTTTTCTCTTAAGACACTCTGAATGCCAGACTGTGTCCAACGACATATCATCCTAAGTGGCTGAAAGACAAAATATTTAAATATTCAAATTGTCATACATTTTGTCTGCCTCTTTATAGAACTGATGCAAATCAGTTTCATATTTCCAGTGAATTGTTTGACTCTCATGGTCTCACATAGGGCCTATGAAAGACACAGCTTTTCCCCAAAGAAGGCCTTCATCACTTGAATTTTATTAGCCTCCCCAAAGGCCTAGTTTCTGTCTAGTGTCCAGTCGTGGAAGCATCTGCTTTAAATTTCCTTTAAACAACTGTTACATGGAAATGACTTCCTTTCTCCTCTCTCCATTCCATATCCTATACTGAGCTGCCCTTCTACTTCTTACTGTAACAATCTTTGATGTCAGCTTATCTGTGGACCTCACATACAGGAGTGGGACAAGTCACCAGCTCAGAAGTCTCAGGACCAGCGACATCAAGAGCAGAAAGTGGCCAGTGCCTCTTCAGTCCCCTCTCCGTCCTGGAAGAGGCCCTCCATCACCTTAGATAATTCATGTCACTGAATGGAACATGTAAACCATCTCACTTCTTTTTGTCTTCACAAATGCTTTAAACACAGGCTTGGAAAATATGTGAGCTTCTCACACGTTCTCAGATATATTCCTTTGCGCCTGACTGGGGTGAAATGATATGGTGCTCAGTGGAAGGAGTCTGGTTGTGCCAGCAGAGGTTGGGGCTATGGAACCATGTAACTGGAAGCGAGCAGTGAAAGCCCATTCACTCTGGAAACTCCTGTTGCCCTGTGCCTCAGTGAAGACTGGCTCAGCAGCATTAGCCTAATGTTCTGTGTGGGACGCTAGCACATTTGTGTTTGGAGCCTGGTAATTAGATTGTGAGCAGGAGGCACAATCCCAGCAATCTGGTGGCATAGACAAAGCTTGGTGTCAGAAAGCATGGTGTGTTAAGGCTTAACAATCTCAGCTCTATTTTTGTCTATCACCCCTTTGACACATGTCAAAAAACAATCCCACCCACTAGTTCTCTTTCTCCTCTCCCCATCAAGCACAAGCACCACAGATGAATTAAATAATGACAATAATAGAACAGGAAAATAATACACTGATGATCAGACATCAAAATGAAATGTAGACCCTTAGACCAACTTTGCTTCGTGTACTTTAAAACATTTTATATGCCACGAGGCAATTTACTGGGAGGTGGATTTTAACATACCACATATGCTATTGGCAAGATAAGAATTACTGAGTTGAATGTTGGTTCACTAAATATGCTGAAACCCTTTTATAGGGCAGACTCTGAGGAACAGCTAACCTCTCTTTATGGGCACATTGAAATGAATTGTGCTTTTACTGTATGTCATTGTTATGTTTCAGGGGACATGATTTCACCAGTAACTTTGCCAAATTTTTGCAATAACACGATTCTACTATATTTCTATTTTAGTACCACAATATCATGGCTTGAAGTTTATTTGAAAAAAGAAAACAACACACATAAAAAAGAGTGAAGTTCAGCCAAATCCAGGTTATTCAGGATTTAAGTTATAATCCAGCATGAAGATTATCCTAAACTTTTGCTTCTCTTCCTCATCTTTAGTATTTTTCATCTTAGGTGGATGTTCCTGCTTAGTAGCCCATTTCCCAGAAGGAGTTAATGGGATTCAATTAATTTCTTGTGTGAAATGTTGCAGAGATACTTTTAGAGGGAGGTGGGATGAGAGAGAGAGAGAGGGAGAAGAGAGAAATGGTTGGAAGCTTTTGGTAATATTTTCTGATATGTATAAACTTAAATTACCTAGACTTCATGAGCACTTCTACTTCTTATCCACGGAGAACAGATCATTAAGAGATTGCTGTATTTTATCTATAATGTACTTTTCTAACCTAAACTATTGGGGATAGGAATACCCCATCTTCCTGCTATGAATCACATCATATGTGGAGAATCTGCACAGATCCTGAGATAATTGTAGGGATGAAGATGTCTACAGAGAAATCCCAGGCCTTAGGAGGGTGTGAACCTTGTGGAAAGATGAACAAAAGGGGAAGAGCCCTATAATGAATCAAGAAAATCTTAACTCATGAGAATAAAATTAGTGTGAGGAGCCAAATCCTGAACAATCTTTAGCTTCCTTATTTTCTCTTTGATGACACTGTAACTTTCTAACTAAAAAGGAGACAATCAACTTAAGGAGCAAAGTATTTGGTCAATCCTTTAAACTATTTGTCTTTATCATTTTATACATCAGCAAACTTGTTTGGATTTTCCATTTGTCTTTAGAATATCTACCTGGAGATAAGTCAATATTTAACTAGAAGAGATAGAAGCTAATAAAAAAAGTTGAAAAATTCAACCCATGAAACATTGGTCTTTATTTCATTAGCAATTTTGGTTTCATTTTTTTACCCAAATTAGGCTGAAAAAAATGAAATCAAAATTGCTGATGAAATGAAGTCATTTTGTACAAATACCACTTTGCATCCTCAAAAAGAGAAATTCCACAGAATGTTCGTGTACAAACACCTGTAGTTTGGGACCATGTGGAATCTTTCTTTTTGAGGACACAAAGTGGTATTTGTACAAGAACATTCTGAGTCTGGATCCACTAGCTGCAAGAAGACCTGACTGAGCCAGTGCCTCCCACTGTGGGTGAAAATCAACCTGGCCTTTCCTGGGGTACAGAGGAGACCAAACTGTCATTCACTAGTATAATTTGTTCTCACTTTCCAACTGGCTGGTTTGGTGCTGTTGTTGATGCTGCCATGATCATTGTAGCGTAGGGTAGGTAACAGACTAGCCTTCCGAGCACCTAGCTTTCCACCTCCTTGCTGAGACTTTGGCTTGGTCTCCTAGAAATGGCTCCTTTTAATCCAATAAATAGGGAAGTGGATGAGGGGATAGCTGTTTAAAAAGAGTACATTTTAATGGAAAAATGAGGTATTTTCCATTGTGGTAATGTGTCTTTTTTTTCAATCATAAAATTGCTCAAAAGAGGAAGCAAAAAGAGGAACATGTATTCATTTGTTTTAACTCGAATTTGTGAAATGAGTTCTTAAGAAAGCTAGCAGGCATCTATTTCGAAGAATTATGACTTCTTTTTGACACGTAAATATCGTGTCATTTCCACAGTATAACTATCTCTCATGATCTGAATTTATATGACTGTAGATCCCAAACTTGCAGTTATTGTGGAGTTTCAACAAGACCACATATGAGAAAGACAGAAAATATTTGCATGTGTCACTATTCAAATGACACCATCAGAGACTGTTGAGAGTAAGACAAGACCTCTCCTTTTGTGACCATTTATCTGATACTAGACAAGTATTGTTCTAGCAGGTAAAATGACTCAAAGATATCTTCAAACATTATACTTTTTAATAACCCCCATAATACAGAATTGCCTATGAATGTACATGTTGGAGTACATTCACGTGAAAGTATAGAATCAGACATTATTCAGGCAGACCTTCCCTGTTCCAAATACTCCTTAATTGAGGAACTACCTTGACTACTAATTTTAAATCACAACCGTTCCATGCAGAAGGGAGAGCTAAGTTTTGGGTTACAAAATTTTGAAAACCACAATATAGAACCCACCTACAGCATCCAACCACCAACTTGCCACTAGCGATGGCTGAGAAAGCAGAAGGGAGGCAGATGTGGTTGCTGCCCAGTTGCAAATGATGGTACTAATAAGACTTTAAGTGAAGTAAGCAGTGGCATTTTGGGGCATTTGTTATGCTCTCCTTGAAGTTATGTTCTGAGTTCTCCCAGACCTGGCTGGAGACTGATTTTCCTTCTGTGCTAGTTATCCTATGTGAAAATAATCATGGCAGTATTAATAATAGCACTGCAACAGCTGTTTGAAAAGTGAGCACCTTCCATACCTTAACTTTCCATTTTGCCTGGTAGATTCCACCCTTATCCTTTTCACTAGCAGATAGTTCTCTGAGTACGAATCTAAAGAGAGGAGAGCCAAGACTATCTACATTGCCTATGGTAAGACAGCATAGTGAGACATTTCTTTAAAAATCTGGGAATGACTGCAAATGGCATTGGGAATGCCTTCATGAGTTGGTTGTCCCTAATGGTAGTTCTTCAGGCTCATGCATAGGAAGCTCCAAGGGAAGGCTGACTCATTAGACCCATCAAAGTTTGGCTTACTCTAAAAGTGAACTTGTCATGAGCATGCACACAGGGTTAATAACATATATTGAGCTTTTCCTATATGCTAGATTCTTTTTTACCTTCTTATTAAATCCAAATAACAGCATCCCAATGAAGATATTATTATCAACAAGAATATAAGCAGAATGAATAGCAATTTGGGTTCACTTGTATACAATAAACACTTGGCACATTTGCTTTTCAAATGATTTAATAAATGTTATCCTTATGGATGAAGAGACAGAGTTTTGCAGAGATTGAATACTCTGCCAAATTCCCCCTGCCAGATAATGCCAGAACAGGGAGACAGGCCTGATACTATGGGGAGATTTTGTTCCCTGCCAGAGGTTCAGCATACCCAAATCCCCTCCCTTGTGTGACCCCTGGTTGGAGTTGGACACAAGAAAAACTTGCATGAGATATGGAAGGTAGAAGTGAAGCAGCAGCTGTTATGCTCAGAGGATGGACATACGAGTGCTAGGCACCACGACAGTGTCAACTTACATGTCATCACTGATCTGCTGGTTCACCTCATTGGTGTGGCGCAATGGCTGGGTCCACAGCTTCTCTAGTTTTCAGCAGATCTCCTCCTTTCAGTTATTTTAGTCCTGTGCCATGGCAGGAATCTTGTGTAGCTTCGTGGCAAAGGACACTAGTCTCTTCTGCAAGTTATCTATATTGTTGAGGTTGGAGGCCATGAGATACAGATGTGGGTTCCAGTTTATCTTTTGTCTCTCTGTTCATGTCCAGCTTGTCTTCCTAACTTCCAGTCTTCTCGACCTCTAGTGACTTCAAGGCTACTGCCAGATGCAGAGGCAACAGCCTCCCATAGGCTTCTTTATAACTTCCCACAATGATGTCGAGTCTAACCTCTGCAATAAACCCTTTATTTCATATTGCTTATGGTGGCTCTGTTTCCATGATCAAACTTTAGCTGTTATGGTCTATCAGACTCCAAATTTCCAGGATACTGCACTCACTGGGAGAGTATGAGGGTGAAGGCACGAGCAGGTCTCAGTGAGACTCGAATCCTTTGGCTCTAGGAAACTGAGTACTTCCTCAATCAGATGCTCGGAGAACAAAGCAAGGGGATATACTTGAGCAAAACAGAAAATTGAGAAGTCATATCAATGTTTCATTTAGCTTATGAGATTACAGAGCTAGTAATTTCATGGCCAATTATATGTTTAAGACAGGCCAAAAATAAGTTGAAAAAATATTTCAGTGACATTTGTGGACAATATAAAAATGACATTTTTCTGATTTCTCAATCAGTACTTTTCAGTATCTTAGTCACAGCCTACCTTTACATGCCAAACGTCTGCGTGGAAAGTGAAAATATGCTCTGTTATAACCTAGATGAAACATCTGGAAGACGATATTTTTCTACTTTTTATTCATTTGGTGTCACATAGATTTAGGCATCAACACATATCTCTTTTCCCTTAACTTTAAAAAAAATATGATTTTATTTTTCAGTACACTTTTTCTGGAAAACAATTTTGCAAGGTGCAAGGTATTCAGATGAAGTGCTGAAATCTTGGCTGTAGGAAAAGTTAAGCGTAACCAACCAACACTTACTTCAACCCCAACTGCAACACTTCTGAGGCTTACCCTTTGCCATTTAGCACGTTCCTTTTGCTGTCTGCTTGCACACTATGTACCCTGGGACTTTCCTGGGTTTCTCTGCCTTCTGCTTTTGGGGTAATATTGGTTTAACCAATATTAAACCAAGAAGAACAACATTAGAAAGACCCAATTTTCTTACATGAGAGCAAGAAGTTTATTCAACTTATTGCTTCACTTTATTTCTAGGGGCCTTTTCTAGCTCCAGAAAGAAGTTGTCCTTAGCCCTAGACTTTCTGCACCTCTATCTGCCCTCCCTTCAATATGTATGTACATTGTCTATCTTGAGTGAGATAATATGCCCATGCAGATGAGCTCTTCTTTGCTTCTTTGTTCTCTAAGCATTAGGGTTGCTGATACACAACCATTTTTTTTTTTCTTGGTAAAAGTACGTTCCATGCAATATTTGGGACATATTTTATGCACAATTACTTGCTGTTTAGCTAAAATTCAAATTTAACTGGGCATCCTGTATTTTATTTGTTAAATCTGTCAACCATAGTGTAGATACTTCTTGCATCCCCAATCTCCCAAAGCTCCTGTTTCCTAAATCCTGCACACTGACAGGACCTTGGATTGTAAGTTAACTTCTGGACAGCTTGCCAGACTCTCCTGGAGGAATGTGTTTGCCTTCTAGCATTTGGATGGATAATTTAGTTCTGCCACTAAAACAAAACATTAATGGGCATTTGATGTAAATGTTATTTTCCTCACTGCTTTGGCTGAAGAGCTGAAGAGTTAGATAGGTACTACCAGCAGCATCCATATTTCTGAAATGCATTGCTTGTTCACAGACTTAACATGTAGCTTCAGCTGTTTCTGGGTTACACAGCTTTTTTTCTATTTCCTTTTTTTTCTTCTTCAAAGTTTCTAGTCTTCTTTTCTTACAAAAATGTGACCTTTCTTCAAGTCTCAACCAGAACCAACATTTGTGCATCCAGATTTTGCGACTCAGAAATGGCCATCTGACCAGTCCATGGAAGGCCTTCCTAGACGGGAGTGTGGATTCTTATTACCCAGATCACGTAATACTGATAGAGAGGGATTTGGCAGTAACGTGGGTAATAATGGTACGGAAGGGGATATGGACTACGATTTTTAAAGGCTTTTTGAAATTAGCTTACAAATAACACTTATTGGGATTTCCCACATTTTAAAACTAACACACGCTTATTGTAGAAAAACATGCAAAACATACAAAAGCTAAAAGCAAACAGAACAAAACAATCACTCATAAATTCACATCTTGAGATAATCACTATTATTATTTTTGGTGTATATTTATAATATTTTCTATAAATTTATTTGTTGTTTGAACAAAAGTACCATATAACACAGAAATACACTGCAACTATTTTTTTATTATTTAACAATGGATTTTGAACTTTTTTTTTTCAGTGCAAAGTACATGTGTACATCAATAATTCTCAATCTTTTTTGGATTGCAGATCTTATTTAAGAAAGTAAAGCTTCTTCTTCCAGGAAAACCACTATACAGGTACCTCGAGAATTTGGGTACAATTTCAGATCATTAAAATCTATCTGTAGATCCTAAAGATAAAGAAGTCCTGTTCTAAAACATCACAACAAATTTGAATGACTGACATGGGACATTTTGAGGCTTCCAGTAAGAATTTATTTTATATAAGCTAAATAGGCAATTAGACATTTGCTACGTTGGAACTTCATATTATAAGTTTTTGCTTTTGTTTTTGTTTTCTTGGAATCTAGGTTTAGGACAGTGGTCCCCAACCTTTTTGGCACCAGGGACTGGTTCATGGAAGACAATTTTTCTGCTGAGCAGTGGTGGGAGGTGGGCAGGGTTGGGTGATGGTTTCGGGATGAAACTGTTTCACCTCAGATCATCAGGCATTAGATTCTCATAAGGAGCATGCAACCTAGATCCTTTGCATATGCAGTTCACAGTGGCATTTCTGCTTCTGTGAGAATTTAATGCTGCTGCTGATCTGACAGGAGGTGGAGCTCAGGTGGTAATGCTCACTTCCCCACCATTCACCTGCTGCTGTGCAACCCTGTTCCTAATAGGCCACAGTCCAGTACATATCCACAGCCCAGGGTCATGGCAAGAGGAAACATTAGCAAATTTGCAGATTGTTCTGTTTACATGTCAGCTCTGAAGACTGTTGAGTTGATGGGTCTTCCCTTGGTTGCAAGCCAACAGCAGTCAGAAGCGAGAAACCTAGTCTGGATTTCACAATAACCTTGTCACAAGTCTCACGTTTCCTGTAGGAAAGCTGAATTTGCCAGCACACTCACCGTGAGCAGAAGTAACTCTGCTCTGAGCAGAAGGCTTGTGCTAAAGATCAAAATGAATTCTCAGTGGAAATACAAAATTAATTTATTAATTCCTGGATGCTAAAGACATTGATTTTTTTCTGTCTAGTGGCTATTTTTCTTTTGTATGTAACTTTCAGTTTATTTCCTTAGTGAGGAAAGAGATGAAGCAACTTGAGAAAGCATAGGAAGGTGTAGTCCCCTGAAATCTAAATGAAGCCTGCTTGGTCTTGCAATTTCCTGTGTAGGTCTGGCCTGGGGCAGGACTATATGGGCATCTGCAGCCCTCACAACGTAGGAAAAGGACTGCGAGAATATTATCATTAACTAAAGTAACTATAGATGTTCGTTACTGGGCACTTATTGTACAACAGCCATTGGGCTAGGTGTTCTACCTAAATTACATTAAATTCTCACCACTCTAAAAAGTAGGTGTCATTTTTCTCTTATGTGGAAGGGGCTGTGCCACTGAGTGGGTAAGAGCACAGACTCTGGCTTTCCACAATCTCAGTTCATACTTATTGGCCTTGTGACCTTGAGAAAGTTACTTAATCTCCTTGTGCCACATTTCTTTCATCTGCAAAATGGGGGTAAAACACAAATTTGAATCCAGGTCAGAGTTCCTTTTTTAAATTTATTTTTTTAATAAAAAATTTTAATGAGGTGTAATTCACATACATTAAAATTTGCCCATTTAAAGTGTACAATACCATATTTTTATTTTCTCATTTTTAAATTTAAATTTTTATTCTTCCACTTTTTTTTTTTTTTTTTTTTTTTCTGAGACAAGGTCTCACTCTGTCACCCAGGCTGGAGTGCACCGGGGCGATCTCGGCTCACTGCAACCTCTGCCTCCTGGGTTCAAGTGATTCTCATGCTTCAGCCTCCTAAGTAGCTGGAATTACAGGCATGTGCCACCACACTTGGCTAATTTTTTGTATTTTTAGTAGAGACAGAGTTTCACAATGTTGGCCAGGCTGGTCTTGGACTCCTGGCCTCAAGTGATCTGGCCACCTTGGCCTCCTAAAGTGCTGGGATTACGGGCATGAGACACCACGCCCAGCCTTTCCCACCTTCCACCCTCAAGTGGGCCCCAGTGTCTATTGTTCCCCTCTATGTGTCCATGTGTAGTCAATGTTTATCTCCCACTTACAGGGTTCGTGTTTAGCTCCCACTTTAGAACATGTGGTATTTGGCTGTCTGTTCCTGAATCAGTTTGTTTAGGATAATGTCAGCCAGAATTTCTACCCAGGAAAGCCTACTGCTTGATTCAGTCCTTAGCTAAATTGTAAAGATCCCTTTGATTCCTCCCTCCAGGCCCCTCTCTCCCTATCTCCACTAACAAGATCTCTCCTTCCCTCTCCTCCTTCTCTTCATGACCTCACTTGCAACTCCCAGTTTCCAGGCTACAGAATGCCGGCTTTCACAAGTGTGAGGAGTGCTGTGAAAGAGAGGCACATGCATAGCAAGGGCATTCTTAGACCTCCAAAGCCTCAGGAACACAGGAAGTAATTCTCTAATAAATGGATATCTGGAATTGTAACTGGTTGAAGGAAATATTTGGTGCCAAATTCCTATTTAGTGCTCCCCAAAACACACGATGATGGAAAGTGGCCTCCTACTTTTTCTAAATTAATTGGGCTTTGATGTGGGTCTGGAAGAAACTCATGAGCTGCAGTCTTTCGTTCAGGAACTTAATAACTTTTGGCCATAGTTGGAATGACTTGTCATGTTTGGGTCCAGCCAGTAGGGAACACAGGTCACATCTTTCCCTGCATAAGCCCACAGTTACCCGTACTGTGGGTAGCTGTCCCTTTCCTTTCCCTTCATAAAGTGGATAGGAGGCGAATAAGGCTGAAAAGTAATTATAAACATCTGGTGGTTACTTTATGATTAGGTCATGTTAAAGATTTTGGGAAGCCTTCCATCAGTCTCAGTTAATATCCTTCCAATTATGTTTACATTGACATTTACCCTGGGCCCTGTAACTTCTCATTATGCCTTCTGGAGTTATCCCATACACTCTGGGCGTGGTGAGAAGTTCACCAGGGAGGCAAGGATTACTGCTGCTACTGCTTGATCAAGAGGAAAGGCAACCAGCAGTTCCAAGGAGCCAGGAAGGGACTGTCCA